CGCCTTGTGAAATATTTTCAGCCCCATCTCACCAAGAAGAATGTCAAGGATTGGTCTAGGATCGTTGCTCTATGCAAAATGTACTTTTATTGGGGACTTTTCAAGTTATACCCCATGACAATCTATTTGCTATCATGCTATACTTCAGGCATTGTTTGAAAGACATCCCAAGTCTCCATGGATTAACTCAAAAGGATGGTAGCATTTTTTCTTCTTGCAGGAAAGGAGGGTCAATGCTGTAGGTACTTGTTTACTTCCAAAAAAACTCTGGAAATTAGCTTCTACAGACATTATGCAATGTTCATTTTAACATTTCTACCTACCTTTTGTATTATACACACTACAAACATTGATAGGGAGTCATTTTACCTCATTCCAACAAACATATTAAGTGAAAAATACATAAATTGACAACAAGTTCAAATTTACCTTTTAGGGGAGGATATAGAATTTTCTAGCCCAAAGACTTTATGAAGCTCATAAAAATAGTAGGGAGATCCAGTGTTCAAAATATCTCTTCCTCAAGTTGTGAATTGCTTCCAGTAGGCTGCAGTCATTCAGAATTTCCCACTTTGTCACATCCCATTTTTGGGAGTTGTCACAGTCAATGCCCTGCCTTATCCTGAGTTTTTATTTGTTCATCTCCAGACTTGGTATATACAATCTACACCTCTTTAGCTATGTTTCATGCACCAGAGTTTAGTTCTTAAAATGTCTGGTTCTTGTGTTATAGCACCAACTTTGTCCAAAAAATCATGTGACATTACTTTTGATCAGTTAGTGTAGCTTGTTTCCCTCTAAAAACCATTACTTATGCAGTATTTCCTTACTTTCAGCACAGTAGAGTAGACTAGCTGTTATATAAAATGATACTGGTCCATACTCAAAACATAGATTGGATCACCCCAGCCCCAAACAAATGATTGACATCAGACTGTTGACAAGGACAGATGAGAAATACTTTGAAGAGCCTCATCCAAATAGCAGGGACTGCCCCTCTACACCTCTTACATGATAGCACTGCTTACTGTCTCTGCCATTAATCGTGATAAGTGATAATGGAAGTGTTGCACTGGACCTGGAGGCTGGAATACATGGGAAGTGCGAATGGGGGATGTGTTTGCATTCATTTCTGTGCCGATGCAGGCACTGTACCATCTTGCAGTAGGGGAGGTCATTGTGTGTGCCTTAGCACATATACAAGGAGATAATTACAAATCATGCCCCTTTTCCCTCAAATCAGATCTGAGACTCCAGAACTCCATTAGCTCAATGCCTAGCGACAACAACATCTGACTCTTCTGTGCCAGGAATTCCAGGGATAAAGAAAGAAAATAGATCAGACGGTGGTGGCAGGAGGTAGCAATGGGGGGAAACAACTACATACTACATGCAGTTTGGATATGAGAGGAATGTCCAAATTCGACAAAGTTCAAACATTTGTGATTCAAAAAAAAAAAAAAAAAAAAAAAAAAACATGTTTGTGCCATCATTATTGCAAATGGCTGTAAATATCTTTCAAGTAATTTTGGCAGTTAAAAGGTAGCATTGTTATTAATACCTACCCCATTTTTTTCATGTTACACTGGACACGTGACAAGATAATTTGTGCTGATATACTCTTAAAATATCTTTTGAAAGTCCCTTATTTCTTTTTCAGTTTTCTGGTAAGAAACACATATTACATCTGCAAAGATTGTTTTCAATGAATGAAGATCAAATACTTGTGAAACATGTTAAAAACGTATAGAAACTTACTTAAAAGATATAGGGTCAATTTGAATTGTCTAAATACTTATCTCAATGCATTCAACATATATTATCAATATTTGACCTTTGTTCATTGAAAACAATCTTTGAAGATATATTACATATTTCTTGCTGAAAAAAATAAGAAACTTTCAAAAGATATTTTTAGAGTACTCCAACATTGTCATGTGTCCAGTGTTATACAACCCAGTAAATATAGGAGTTGGAGCCCACTCTTTGCAAGTTTTCCTCATACCAAAGGGCCTAACTTTGATGTCAGTGAGCCAATTAAGCAGAAGACTATTTTACGTACACGAAAAGAACTCATAGCTTCATTCATCTTCCCCTCAAACTTCTTAACTTTTTTATCTTGTGCAAAGCTGAAAAATTTCCTGGAACTCTGCTGGTGAATATCTGAAACACTTTCTTTTAAATGGTCCAAAGTTCTAGCGGAGTATTCAAATTTGAAGGCATTTATAACAACAGTCAAAGTCACACACCCATTCAAACCCTCAAGCCAAGACTGCAAAGCAGATGGAACCTGATCATTGCGAAATTTACAGGTATGCTGAATGATCTCCTCAACCCTCCAGATAAGACTATCCGAACAAGCAATCCAGGCTCTCTTGTTGGAGTTGAATTTCTAATTTGATTGTCAGATAGGTCTGGTAGATTGACTAGAGCAAAGTCGAGCACCTTGATAACCTCAATGATACCCAAGGCCTTGACTACAGCCAACCTTAAGGGCGGAAAGGTGTCATCAGATGCAGCCACAGCTTCGAGTGCACGAAGGCGGGCCCCTCCTAGTCCGCTAACAGCTTGCAGACTGCTGCTTGCACTGGGATTTAATCCACGAGTGTTCATATTGATGGGGTTGTTGTTACTGGTAAGTAGTAGCGTCTGCGTTCGTGGTGGTGGTGGCGGTTGATAAGAGACCTGGAAGGACCGATTCCACGCTGCGGTGCTGGACTGCCTCATGCCGTGGTCATGCGTCCAACATGCACCACATCTATTTTTGAACTTTGTTTCAGAAGAATGCTTGTAGACGCTCATGAAAACCAATTGCTTTCTTCGGTCCAAAGTTCCTTGAGATGGGGAAGCCTACCACTTCAACGCATGGTCTACCCGGCTTAGGTCTAATCAAATCCATTCACATCAACGTTTGGCATGAATCACGGTCCTCACGTATCATTCCGCTCATGGTTCGAGCTGGTGTTGACTCTGACATCTGTGGCATTACACGACCCACTGTCCTTTTCGCAATAGCGCCCATCTCGGCCCTACCGACGACCCAGGTACCTACTACTGAAACCAGGTTGCAGGGAACGGCTGCTTGAACAACCTCCTCCTAAACAAAAATTATGGCAGTGTAGAAGTTGTGCATTCTTCTTAACGTGGGCATAGCCTTCTCTTGGTCCATTTTGTTCCAAAAAGTTCACCAGATTACCAGCACGGAGAAAAGGTTACTCCATTCTTTGTTGATTAATTGACTAGGCAGCCCGACAGCGAGTTTCGATCATGCCGCCAGCCTGTCGAACGAATTTACCAAAATGAGCGCGCCGCAGAAGCGCCCGAAAGGAACTGCTGACAGGAAAGCAACATGCGAAGAGCGTAGCATCTGAGAATTAGATCACGGCGAATGGGCAACGTCAGAAATTGGGCAGGATATCTAAACGCTGACACCTTACTACAGAAGACGGAACAGCCATCAGGCCTATCCCTCGCCTGGGATTGAGAACTTGTTTAACGCGTGCTTGAAGGGGAGGGCGGCGGAAAGGCCTACTGCGCAGGGTATTGTGAATTGGTGTCAAGCTCGGCAGTAAGTAGGTGCCAGAAAAAGTGTCCGCAATTTAGTGTACGTTTATGTGTTGTATAGCATGTTGAAAATCATGAAGTTCACTGTAAGAAGTGGTCAATGTTATGGTGAGTGTCGTATATGAATTCAGTGTACATACTTCTTTGTGTTCACGTCGCGGCCAGGAAGAGACGCGTTAGGGCAACACACCACGATGATCAAGTTTGACGATATCAGGATTGCACGCCGCGTGTCGAGTGAGGTTGCGTTGCAGAGCTGTCATAGAGAGTTTAGAGCACACGGCGGGGTCGACGATGAGAGGCGGGACAGGGGGGACCATATATTTCAAATTGATTGCTCAACAGAGGTGACAGAGAGATGACATTCCGAGGGACGTTGCGTAAGAAAGACAGGTGAGGGTTGGGACCAAGGTCAACGACATCAGCTAACATTGACCAACACCAAACCGTCAACACACACCTGCCACGTCGCCCGATTATCATGATTGCAAGCCATTCTTGCCGTTGGACTCGCTCAGGCTTCAATACTTTGAATTACGATGAGCCAATGTTCGGTTCTCCGAGTCTCTCCGACGTCGTATAAGAGCTGCAAAGCTGTCGTTTGGGGCTGGATAATAGCTGCGTAATTTGGTGCGTTTGGTCCCTTTCTACGCCTCCGAGTTCCTGACTGATGTTATTTCTTTGCAGCTATGCACTAGGCTACTATTCGCTGGCCAATACGTACACGTTTACACCTTCAAATCTACGAAGTCCCAGAACTTGTATTCCCTCGGCCTAAAGGACAATACCTGCAATCGCACCATACTGCCAATATCCAGTTCAACTTTACCGCCTCTCCCTCCCTTCTCCTTCTCCATCTACCGCACCTAAAGACGCAAAGCTCTGCTCTCCACCGGGTCATCCTATCATATTCGAACCTCAATATCTTCGGGTTAAAATTGAAATATCAACCTTCCAAACAACGCCAACATCCATGTATCAGGCGAACACACTAACCCATTCCGCCTCCCTACAGACAATATACGACACTTACACTGTGGTCCCGCGATGCTTACGGTGAATCAATCGGAACGAATTTTTACGGGAACCACCCGGTGTACTTCGAGCACAGGACAATGGGTACCCACGGCGTGTTCCTGCTCAACTCAAATGGGATGGACATCAAGATCACGAATAGTGGGCCAGGCGGCACATTGATATGAACGAGCCCGCTCACGTACGCCCTTTTTCATCGTATTCCCACTCACTTGACCAGAACAACAGGTTTGCAACCTCCCATGCGATGACCCCTACCAACAAGCCATTCAGCAGAACCTCCCACCACCACGCGCGAACCCTCCCCCAGCGCATGATACGTCCATCTTTGGGAGGCAAAAAATCACGGCTCAGAACGAGAGACGTGATGAGGATAATTTGAACCCACCCTATGTGATCAATAACGCTGCTGGCTCCGCTGTCCAGCAAGACGTCTTGGGTACGTTTTTTCTCTTCTCTTCTTTGCTTTGTATTTGGATAGGTCAATCTAACAAACATGCATATACTACCCCACAGACAAACACAAAACACATCAACGCTCTCACAGAATACAACGCGCACAACCTATTCGGCACCATGATGTCCAGTGCAACGCATAACGCCATGCTCGCCCGCCGACCTGGAAAATGAACCCTCGTCAGCACACGCTCGACGTTCGCTGGTGCAGGACGGAGCGTTGGCAAGTGGGGTTGGGTGATAATTTTAGTGATTGGGAACATTATCGTTTTTCGATCGTGGGTATGCTTGGTTTACGGCGGTTTATCAGGTTCCGATGGTTGGGAGTGATATTTGTGGGTTTGGTAAGTCCTTTTTGCTTGTACGTTTTAGAGCAAAGGGGAGGAAGTTGATGTTGGTGATGGGGTACAGCGGAGAATACGATGGAAAAGCTGTGTGCGAGGTGGGGGACGTTGGGTGCTTTTTATCTGTTTATGCGCGATGTGTGGCTTTTCTTCTTCGATTTGATGAGATCCTCGACGCTGATAGCCCTTCCTTTTTGCAGCATAACGCAGACACACCTATAAGCCAAGAATTCTACATCTGGCCCAGCGCAACACAAGCAGCCAAGAACGCCTTGGACATCCGGTTTGTTCCCTTTCCCCCCCCCCCTCCTTACTAGCTCACCCCCACACCAGGCACCGCCGACTACATCTACACCGCCTTCCACCACGCTCATACGGACGGCCCCCCGTCGTCCTCTCTCTATGGCTCAAATACCCCAAAGACCCCAACACCTACGGGATAGACCACCAATTCTTTTGGGGACTCGATACTCGTATCACCCGTAACCCAGGACGAAGCGACGTCCGCCACCATATACCTACCCAAAGACATATTCTACGATTTCAAGACGCTTGAGCCTGTACATGGGCAGGGAACGTACGTTTCATTGGATGATGTCCCCTTTACGGAGATACCCCCCCACATACGGGGCGGTGTTGTCCTCCCGCTGTGTGCGCAGTCGGGGATGACGACGACGGAGGTTAGGAAGCAGGATTTCGAGATTGTGGTCGCGCCTGGGGTGGATGGGAAAGCGAGTGGGAAGCTTTATGTGGATGATGGGGAGTCGGTTTTGCCTAAGACGGAGGTGTGGATGCACTTTGGGGATTCCCCGAATACATTGAACGTTGGGGGCACGTTTGGGTATGCGCTTGGCGTTGGGGTGAAGAGGGTTAGGTTTTTGGGTGCGGTGAGTAGGCCGGGGAGGGTGTTGGTTAATGGGGAGGTTAATATGGGATGGGAGAGGGATGCGGGGAGGAAGGTTTTGGATGTTAGTGTTGGAGGAGTGTTTGATGGTGGATTTGTGGTGCAGTATTCTTGATTGATTTGGATTGATGAAGGACAATGACGATTTTTGTAAATACGTACGCACATTCATGGACAATTCAAACTACACGATGCACAGTTCTAGCATTTTGGAGACGTATGTGGAAGTTAGTATAGATCAAGGAGCGGGGCGTTTTAATGTGTTGCAAACAGCAGTATTCGATTATTATCTCAAGGTTATCGGTCGAAGAGGCCGTTGGCCCATCTTGAAGACAATACTTGGTCGTGCGTTGAATTCCAAGTATGATACACATGATGTCCGTCGTATTCCAAGAAAATGTACAATATACATTCAAAAAGCAAACACTCTCTTATCCTACTCACGGCGTATGATGATCGGGATGAGAATGGTGCCATATACCAGCTCAGGCTCCTTTTTATCAGTGACGTCGACCTGTGTCATTTTCCTTCCCTGAACAAAGGGCGTTTCCTGGGGGATCATCGAAAGATCGACGTTCGTTGAGGTGATGAAGAGCATAAGGAAGCCGACGTCGATTTCAACGTCGTCTTGCTCGATGGAGTAGGCGAACGGCCTTATTCCACTGTCGCCATAGCCAACAGGGATAAAGCCACCATTCTTGGGAAGAGTAGGGTACGCTTCAAATTGGCCACTCGTCGTCGATTGGTAGACGGATGCTAGGAAGGAAGGATTCATAAAATTTGGAATACGACGGGATGCCAACACGTACAGATACTGAAATCGCTGTTATCGAAATAAAATGCGTTGAGGTAGAGATCGCGCTTGCTGTTATTTGTCACTTTGAACCCATATGCAATTTTCGGTGAAGAAACGAGTTCGACAGCAGCGTTTTTGTACAGGTTCTCGTCGGTTTTTGGCTCGATTTTATCTTCAGAGGAGGAAAGTTCAAAGAACTCAAACTTAATGGGGGTGTTCACCAATCCGTCCTTCTTTTCGCGGTCCAGATACCAATAGAAATGAGCTGCGGAGTTGAGAACGGGCATGATATCCTTGGGGTCGTTCCTGACGGTGTAATGCATCTGTCTGATGTTGTACTCCGTGAGTCGCGCGTCGAGGATGTCGAAGGCAATTTCGCCATCCGGGGTAATCGACAGAGCAAGCTTTGCCCCCCTTGCATCAGGATCCCCATGCTTAGCAAATCGAATCTCCCGCCGCCTGGGATCAGCGTTCTGCAGGTCTTTCGCGAAAGCTTCATATAGAGATTTGAGCCTCTTGTCAAAGGGCACCACGACAACAAGACGCTCCGCTTCTCCGGCTTTGCTCTGCGCGGCATATGCTACCGGGGGTAGTCGAATAACTGCACCATATACCTTGGGGCTTAGGTGAGTGGAAAATGGGAGGACGTCTTCGGAAGAGTGAACTACGAGCACTCCGAGGGGAGTCGAGTCTATAATTGAGGGGTTATCTTTGTAGACCGTAAACTCAGCACCCGTTGTTACGCCATGCACTGAGCCAGCCTGAAGCGTGTATTTGGATCCCTCCATGGAGATTCGAAAGCATATGCGGCCAGAAGAGGGTGCTTTGGAATTGAATAGAATACGGTTTCGATTGACACCTTCGCATTGTGGGTTTTGGCTAAGCAAGGAAGAACGGAGGTCAGTTTAGACATTTGTTTCTTATATTGCCGAAGCATACCCGGGTATCTTATCCATCCTGTCGAGGAGCGACGCATAGGTAAGCTTATCAACCCCTACATCCACCAGGGCATGCATTAGGGCTTTACTGAAACGCCCGCGTCCGAGACGTTCCTGAGCTTCTTCCTTCTGGTTACACGCCGCCAACAAAACGTGACTACTCAAGCCTTTGCGAGCAAAACCCGGCACAGTCCTCGAGCCCCTGGCTCCAAAATGGGTACCCAATAAATCATGATCAATATCGGGTGGAGGTGGATTTGCTAGCGACGCGCCACGGACCGTTCCTTCGTCGGTTTTACTCTTGCGCGTCCCAGACCCAGAATTGCAAGAATCGAAAATTACAGTCTACAATTCCGCCGGTTCGTGAGCTTTAAATTTAACGGATTGAAGGCGGTACATACAATATTATCCCCTTTTTCGCCTTCAATGCCGTCTATTAAGGCGCCGATGGAAATATCTGGAATGCCGTAGACTAGCCCGGCCGTCTTGTTTGAACAGAAATCCTTCGGAATGATCATTTGTATCTTTTTTTCAACATCCCCGGTCTGCCACCCGTCAGGGGCTGGAGTCTCGCCGCCGTGCCCGGCGAAGAAAATCAAAATGGGATCGCCTTTTTTAATGCGTTGGTCGTTTTGTAAATCCGAGAACCCCTTCATGATATCGGCGCGCTTGGCCTTGCTGTCAGTCAGCAGACGGATGTTGGATTCTGGAACTTTTAAAATGTCCTTCAGGAAGTCGCGCATCGCGATGGCATCTGCAACGGCTCCATGAAGGACGGGAAATAAGGCATCTGCATATTGATTGATGCCGATTATAAGAGCGAAAAAGGATTTGTTCTCTCTGCACATCCAATTTGAGCAACACGATTTAAATCGAGCGCGGTCAAGACACTTACTTGTCAGGAATGGGTGTGGCTTTCTGGGGTGCTCTGACAATCGACAGGGTGAGTGTCTTTGAACTGAAGCGAGGATCCTCACAGTTGTTGATGTGGACTTCGAGCTTATTAGCACAACAATAAATAGAGGGTGAGTTCAAATCCTTACGTCTGCTTTCCCGATGGGCTTGGACTACCATTTTGGAGTCAGTCTTTACTAGAGACAGGATAATAATGTCAAAACCATTACCGCGAAGGCCCTTGCGTCCTGTCATTCAAATTAAATGTTATTCGGATTGAGAAAATACATTATACTTACGCCGGCTTTCCTGGAGTGCTTGGACTAAGGTTATTTATCAGTTGTGGGATAGGTACGATAAGGTAGGAACCGTTACCTTGAAGGCTTTTTTATCCTACATTTTCGATGATTCCGTCATTAGCAATTATAATTGATAGAAAATGTAAATCTTCACGTCGGCTTTCCGGGAGTGTTTGGGCTCGCACTATTCGGGCATCAATCATTGATAATAGAAGTTATAAGGTAGAAATCATTACTTTGAATGTTGAGGTGCCCTGAATTTCAAAACCGTCCGTCAAACAACTTCCCTTGAGTACATTTACAATAAACTAGAGAGTTGACAGTAAGAGGTGAACAAGTGTCAAGGGAAGGATTATGTGACACAGACCTTACGGCTTAGCGGGGGCGGCTGTGTTGCTAGCTATCGTGCCAGTGGGACCTCTACAGAGCAAAAAGCGTAATTCCTTGAGTTCAATTTTTTAGAAGAATTTTCCACGAACGGATTCCCAAAGAACCAAAGTAAAGTGGGGAAGCTGTGGAAGGATGTGCCAAAGAAATCGAGAGACATCGCTGTGGACAGTGGATGTTTTGAAGTGTCCAAGACGTGGCTAAAGGAAGAAGGCGACGTACCTTTATATAAACTGGAACCAACCTAGGCCATTAGGATGATCTGCAATAATCTCGATTACTCATTCCGCCGGTGTTTTGGTGGACATTTGCCCTGCACCATCTCCGCTGAAAGGCCCTCCGTATTCAAAGAAATGGAAAGAACGCATTGTGGGAGACGAATTTCCGTTTGTCACATCGCCCGTGGTTAAATTCCAGTGTAAGCAAGGCAACGTCATGCCTACATGGCTGAAGAAATGGCAATTTCCGAAGCAACTTGATGGAAGCTGCAGATTTTTTGACGCCCATTCCGCGTTGTCTTCATTAGATGCGGTTTTAAGGTCCTCACAATCTACGATGCGACAGAAAGGTGTGGGAAGGAGAATCGATGAATCGATGGCGAGCAAATTGCCAGCCAAACGGTGACAAGGGGGTGTTATCAACTGAGCAGTAAGGAGGCAAAGAGGTTGATACTCGGCGAATTACGGAGGTCCCTTAACTTTCACAGGTTTCATAACTCATCATGGGGTGGACATGACAAATGAGATCTGAGAGTTGACGTTTGAAGCCATAGGACGCGAATGTATGTTTGGCCTTGGTTTGGCCGTTGTTTGGGCATTACCTTTGCATATTTTTGTGAAAATCAAAACGTTTCCAAAACCAGTCACGTGGTATGTACCTGAGCCAAACAAAGCGGTTCGGGCTGATTTCTGAGCTTCGACTATGCCTCTCCTGTGCCTCCCTGTCTCTCCGGCAACCTCAAGGAGTGTATTATTCAATGGTACTATATAAATTAGGGGGAGATATGTGATCTCCCCAACTGCTCTATTGGCAATGTTATCCACAATCATATTGCAATTATAGGGATTTTGGTCAAGTAAGCTTATTTACCCGTCGTGCAGGACAGCCTTCTGCCCTCACCAGTGAATACCTTTCACTTCTCAAAGATATAATTGAAAAGAGTCTGTCCCTTTACTTAAAAGAAATGCAACAAAAGCTCTCAGATGTCTGAGAGGTGGTTGAGGTTTTTGTTGCCAAAATATTGCTAGCACTCCAGGATATTCTCAAAAATTATCGAATTGAAGTCACAAGCCATTATGAGCTGGGTGGTGGCGGATAAAATTTTGGAGGTCCAAAGAATGCGAGGAGGGGAGTGGCGAGCTCATTGTTTGGCTCAGGCACATGTCACGTGACTGTTTTCGAAAACGTTTTGATTTTCACAAAAATATGCAAAGGACTGTACCAACCAAAATTACTGTGGTATTTCGACCAACTGTTCAGCTGATGTGACGCGTGACGGCCTCGAACAGATGGGGTGTTCGAAATTGGGATGACCGTGTGACATAGCAACAAAAGTGTTCGGCCAGCAGCAACTGTTCATTGAGCGGTTGACATGGCATGTAGTAGCAACCTTCTTGCCTCCTCCACAACCTCCCAGATTAGTGAATGGTATATAATTTTGGAGTAAATGTACGCCGCACAGCGGAAAAAATGAATTTTTGGAGAGAGTTTCCTTTTTAGGGTGAAATGTCACCCTATTCGACCTTCCGAGTGACCGTGACAAGTGTCAAGGTTCAGTTCATGTGACGAGTGACCAAACAGTCGGTCGAAATACCACAGTACCAACACTGGCAAGTCTCGACTGTTCATGGAAACCACCACGCCAACCATCCCTTTCATTTATCGCGTTTATTGGGGCTACGAAAAGATTTGGATAGGGTCAGGGTAGGGTGGAAATTCGAAGGATTCGCTTCTGGTCGTTCACAGGGTCATATTTGGTAGGAAGAAAACCGCCGCGACGTCCGAGTCGAGAATGTGAATTTCAAAACCTCACTGCCCTCCGTGTCTTCATCTAGATGCACTCTGTGATCGTCACAATCACATCACAATCTACGACTTCGGTGAATGAACAATCGATAAATCCAATGTGTGTGATTTCACTACTATACTATTGATGTCTGCTCACATCCCCCGCTAACACATGGGACGATGCTATTGGTGGAGGGCTTAACTGTCCACATGATGCACCCATTTGTGAAAGGCGCAGGTACTCAAGTACTTCAATGAGCAGGCAGCCCTGAGCCTGGCCACGCTCACAGTTCACGCCTTTTGAAAGCCTCCTACGCATTGCTCATTGTCGTTCGTTTCTCTTCTTGATATTCCATTTCTTTAAAAACCAAGAACAAGCGATGGCGTTGCAACCTGGACTGTTTTACGCTTATGCAAAGAACGTACGTCTCTCAGCAGACATTCTGAATCCCTACTCTCATAGTACGCGTAGATCAAAGACGATCACACATATCGGTATCTCATCACCTTTTCTTCAAGAAAGATTGCAGATGAGTGGTGGAGAGCGGTTTCGGACTCTGTTGCTGGCGGTTATCGTCGGTTCGCAAACGTGGACCGAGTTTCAATGCAATGGTACACCCATGACCCCAGTGGTCATGGAAATATATTTGAGACCGTCAACGACGATCGTTGCGCATTGAAATTTAGGGGCCAGGTCATGTTTACCTTGCTGATGGACAGAGGCGGTCGCAACCTTTCCATTGCCCCGGTCCTGAATTACGTTGACCACAAGAGTGGCCAAAGGTATCTTGCTCCTTTACAGTTTATGGGCTGTCTAATGGGGTATTTGGGGATAGGTTTTTCATTCGATCCGCGTTGATACCAAATCTATTCTGGTTCTACAGTCCTGACGACCAACAAATCCGTGCATCTTCTCAACAACGCACTGCATTTTTCGTCGATATAGTCGGGGCCGACAAAGAAAATGGTGGGAGGATCATGATTGGGTCGGATAAGGTTTCCATTGCTGCCCACCGAGGGAAATATTTGGCGGTTGGGAAGAGTGGAGCTGAATTTTTTAATTTCTCCGATTTTGACGGCAAATTCAAAAGAGGGGTTGTGGACTCCGAGGGTGAATTGGTCGTTCATGGTCAATTTGGGGAGAGGTGGGAACTTGTATTTTAAATGAGCCAATTGAGCGAGGGCTAGTACATACCTGTCCGAATTATTGATCAGCTGGGGTTCGCCGCATCGATACATTAGACTTTGAAAATAACCTACAATCTATAAAGTGTATTAGCGGAACTACGATATGGGTTGCTGATGGGAGCGCGTATTTGAAAGTGCTTAATTGAGAACTCCCAGCGCTTCAAATTGGTATGACCCATATGGGTAATACTCATTCCTGCAATCAAAATTTCCATTTACACAAGGAAGAAAGTCATTCAAAAAAATTTGAATATTCCCGCTCGTAAAATCGAAGGAATAGTGGAACAGATCCATATTCAGCACTGAAGGACAATCAATTTTTGTAGATATAATACATTCATGGACTAACTGAAACTACACAAGATGATATACATTCCACGACTTTGAGGACCAACGAAAAGGAGTGATCCAAGAGATTGAATAAGGTCGGAGAAAACTTCAAAAATGACCGGACGCATACTACTCCAATGAAGCAGGACCTGGGGTAATAACCATCTCAAACCCATTCACAGCCGACGGTCCACCTCCAATCGGGTGTGGTCGAGGTCCAAGAAGCATAAACGGATTCAACCCATGCACATACTTATCCCTCATGGCCTCCCCCACCTTCCTCTCCTCCTCCCCCGAAAGCTTCGTACCGGCCCAGAACATATGCCTCAGCCCAACCAACTGTCTCATCAACAACCGAATATCACTCTCCATGCTAACTTCTTGATAATCCGTCACCGCGAAGGGGACTGCAAACGCGCGAGAGGCGATGACGACGGATTTCCATTCCAGATATGTTGCGAGGCCCGCGTTGAATGCTATCATTGCGTCGGGGCGTTTTATCCCCGTGTTAGTGTTATTACCGTGAGAGGAGCCCCGGAGGTCTTGCCCAAGTAAAAATGGGGATGCGGAAGGAGAGAAAGAGATTTTAATGCTCCCGCTTCCTGAGGACTTGGGAGCGGTGTAGGAGTAGATGGTAGGTTGGCGAGCGAGGCATGAAGTGGGGTTTTTCAATTTGTTTGCTTTTTTGAGAAGCTCGTTGACGCCGGGACCGAACATTGTTAGGTGGAGGTCGGTTTGTGGGAGGAGGAGGGCGAGTTCGCCGAATCTGGATGAATGCAGTGTTAGTAAAACATTTATGTATAAATAGTGTTGGCTGTTTTATCGAGGTAAGTTGCTCACATGGGTACGAAGTCAAGTTCTTTCTCGACGCCGAGCAGGTAAACCGTTAACTGACGTCTTTCAGTGGGAGGCGGAGAGGGAACGAATCCGAGAAGAGAGAGCAATCGAAATGCGGTGAGAGGCCAGTGTAGAAGGAGAGCGGCAGGAGAGTCGATCGGTAACCCCCGCCAAGCATAATAGCTTTTCCAATTATGCTCAAATTGAGCGGGAGCCTTTGGAGGAACGGTACCGCTGAGCCCAAAATCCAACCACGGAATATGGTTGTCAGGCAACTTCCACCCGTCGCGTTCGCGGATGTGTTGGTCATCGAGAAGGCGGAATCCCCAAGTATAGGTTGATCTATCGTTACAACACGGTTCTTCCGTCCACCAACCGAACTCGGCGCCTGTTCCGAGAAGGTTTTTTGATCCTTTAAGGGCGACAAAGGAGAAAGTTCCGTCTGATTGTTGTCGAGCCCAGGGAAATTGTCTCGCGATGGCCTGCATATCGGGTTTCTTCAGCACCGCCAGCTACGATTACTTGGATGAGCACTGAGGATTTTAACCTTGTATGATGAATCGGACTCACTTTAAGTGTACCACAAATATCTTTGTGACGTTCCCCCACATCACCTGTTGAAATTACAATCCCCCCTTTCCAATCCTTTGTTGCGCACTGGCACACGAAATTAGCTCTGATCATGAGATGATCAAATTGATTGAAACCGTACGTACCTGAATATTACAATAGTGGATAGCTTTGCACTTGGAACACTGCAGTTTTTTCTATTATCCAAAAGTAAGTCATAAGCTGGACCATGAGCCAAAAATTCAAACATACAGCGCCTCTCTGGGGTGCGCTGCAAGCAGCACAAATGGGAAACACAAGATCATCAACCATTTCTCCTTTGCGGAATTTCGCTACTGTATCTGCAATCATCCTTGCATGATGAGCGGAATGCATAGCTGTAGCCATTCTTGAGATAAAGTTTGCGGGAGGGAGTGGACAAAGAGTGGGAAGGACGAGCGAACCTCATGATCACTTGCAATAACTTCAAATATTATTCAATAAGAACACGGTGATCAAATCACGTGCACTGCTAAGTATTCCAGGTCTGTCATTTCAAATTTCAACACTGTCAATGTCAAGCGACCTGATTTGCCGCTGGAGGGCCTCCCTTGGACGACTATGTTGATTCTTTTGTTAGGAGGAGACGTTATACGTCCTATCAGTTATCTTCATGTCCTCGAGCAATTTAGATGTCTAGCAAGTCGCAACGGTCAGCAACTTGAAGACTCCGAAATCCCAAGAGGACTCCTCCATTGCTCCTCCACTCTGCCACTCCGAACGCCTTTCTAATATCATACTCGACGTTCATTTTCCAATAATTGTCTCTAGACACGAAGCATCGGTAATAGCGGCAATGTACCTCTTTGTATGTTTTTCTATCGCCACCTTCAACACAATGGTTTGTCAGGCTCCAATGGCCGGGAGTGATATTTGTCGGTTTTTGGTAGGTCTTTTGCTTGTATTTTTAGAGAGCAGGAAGCTGATGTTGGGGTACAGCGGAGAATACGACGGAATAGCTGTGGGCGAGATGGGCGACATTGGGTGCTTTTTATCCGTTTATGCGCAATGTGCGGCCTCCTACTTCAACTTCATGGGATGGACTCTCAACTTCCTTCGTCCAGCACAACGCGGACACATCCATAAGCCAAGAATTCCACATCTGGCTCCTTGTCCTCTCCTCACTATGTCACCCCACCCAGTTGCCGCTTCCTCACTACATCTACACCGTTTTCCACCACGCTCATACGGACGGCGGCTCCCCCGTCCCCCTCCCTCTATGGTTAAAATACCACAACGCCTACGGGATAGACTACCAATTCGGGGACTCGATACTCGTATTACCCGTAACCCAGGACGAAGCTACGTCGGTTGGCATATACCTACCTACCTACAGACATACTTTAAGATTTCAAAAGGCTTGCGTCTGTGCAAGGACGGGGAGCGTACGTTTCGTTGAAGAATTTCATTTTAACGGTAATCGCTGCATACGCGAGGCCTCCCGCTGCGTGCCCAATCGCTGATGACAACGACGCAAGTTAGAAAGCAGGATTAAAGCGACCGGGAAGCTTCATGTGGATGACGGAGACTCGATTTCTCCGCCGTCTGGCAAGACGGAAGTGTGGATGCCGTTTGGGGATTCCCGGGGAAACTGAATGTTGGGGGGACGTATGCGTATGAGCTTGGAGTTGAGGTGAAGAGGGTTAGATTTTTGGGTGTGCTGAATAAGGTGAGCGTTGGGAGAACGCTTGATAGTGGTGTTGTGATATAGTATCCTTGATTCAAGGCCGTGGAGTGATGAAGACTATTGCTCATTGTCCCTTGCATTGCCTTCCATAATTTGGCTTCAAAACGATGGTTATTTGGAAACTGATTTCTCGCCTTTTTCTTTGCCAAAGGCCACGCCGAGTTGCTGCCCAGCGCTCAGCAGTCAGTCCCTATCCCGGTGCTTATTTATTGCTCGTTGCATATTCTTTTTCGAACGAGCTTGTTGTCTCAAAAAGTGCAAATCCCCATATCGTTACTGGCTTTCGAGCGAAAAGCCACCTTCCATAAGTTTATATTTCTGATCCTCAACGCAGCCCCATTGAAGCTATAAGCCCATGGCCCATAACTTCAGGCAAACTCAATATCGCACTGCCTCTGACAATTACCCCGCGCTTCCGCGATGCTTCTGTGCGATCACTTCAAGTTGCCCTCTTCTTCCCAGGATTCCGATGTCTAGCAAGCCGCAGCGGTCAGTGGGACTCCGAAACCCGGAGAAGACCCTTCCACTTCGCCACTCCGAATGCCTTTCTAATCTCAGACTTCTCCCACTCAACGTCCATTTTCCAATGACTATACACGCTTGACTGCACAAAATCCCACCAGACGAGCGTCAGTTTAGCAAACCGCGGCCGGGCCAAAGCAATGGCAATAGTGGTGATGTCCTCGCTCTTGACCCTTTTTGAATGTTTTTCTATCACCACCGTCAACCGGAGCTCCTCCAACGGCGACGAAACTTGGGAGAGCATAGCGACGACCCATCTTGCTGGGGGGTAACCGTAGAAGAGGACTCCGATTTCTCGGCTTTCTCCTAATAATAGGTTACTGAGGTGAAGACGTCGCAGGTTTGAGTTGTGAGCAAGATCAATTAATGTAATGAAAGCCGCTGCCAAAAAAAGAATTGTTGAGAATAAAACGTTGACAATACAGACGAAGCTCACGGTGTGGAACCTTAAATTTCGGGTTATCCGCTTCCACTAAATAAAATGCCTCTAGGCCAGAGAATTCTAGTTCGAGACTCTCCAAGAAAGGGCCGATGGCATGTAGGTATGTTGCAATAGAAGGAGCCTCGTTCTGTCGAATGGATGTGAATCGAGCATTCCGAGTACCCAGCAACGCCTCCTTAGTACTCCCTGTCAAAATCCAGGTTATCAGCACCTGCTTCGACGAAATGCTTCCGAGGGATAGATCCCGCAGAGTTGGGATAGTCAAAATCGAGTCAGAATCCGGATAGGTTTGCCAGTTTGCACCGTTCAAAACCAGAGACCGCAATTGAGGAAATGAGCAAATAAGTTCACAAAGTTCATTAAACGACGAGAACATGGCGCTCAGCTCAAGCTTCGTGATGCCGACGAACAAGTCGGTGAAAGCCATGCGAATATCTTTAGATAAATGAGTCCCCCATTGCCAATGATACGAGTTCGGAAACATCTGCAGTGCAACGCATTCTAGATGTGGGAAATAAGGGAGTCGATGGAAGAGATGACGTATCCATCCTTTCGGGGGACATTCAGAGTCGAATTCCAAGATGTCCAGTTTCTGGACAAAAGATGTGATGTTATGAGGGGAGGATGCTATGAGATCCAAAAACGCAGCCACCGAAGCATATGTGTGGAGGCGTATAATGCCAAAGAGATATCGACGGCTAGGGGTAACCCAGCTTCGGCTCACTAAGCTACATGCGCGCAAGGTGCGTTCATTCCAGGCGCAGTATTCAATCACCCTCTCGATGAGCTCTTGAGGAAGTCTTGGGTCCAACACATCTGGAGGAGGTGGGAGAAGGGCACTCGGATTCTTATCTCGACGTAGGCTTTTGACCATCGGATGACTACCTGAAATTCGTATCAGGCCCAAAATCCGTCAACTGAAGCTTACGTGAAGTGACCCACCGTGAACACCCTGCTCTGGTTGGGGTTGGAGCAAGAATGCAAGTATGAGAGTCTTGCATAGATCGCCTGTGGTCTTGGATAGATCGCCTGTGCACAGCCTTGATATCGGACCAATATCGGACCCTTTGAGGTTGGTCTACCTTTGTGGTAGTTCCAAATACAGTCAGGACCAACCACGGTGATACGTCGTGGCATTTAACACTAGCAACTTGTAGATGAATGATCAGGTATTGTAGAGATTATTTTCCGGCGTGAGGACAGGCAAAGGAAGAAAGGCGAGCTGAAGGCGAGACTGGACGTCATCGATGGAAAGTTGACTTGAAATAAATCGCGTTCAAGTGAGGATTACGGCGGCCGGAGGATCGATAACGTTCCCGATCTCGCCGATGAAAATCCCATTGGATCGCGCAGCTATCCTCATGCCTAAAAATGCCTTACTAGCCGGCGCGAAATTCAATGTGTGATTCACCAGACTCACTACAGTTGACTTTAAATTGACAATGTTAAGACTCCAATATAGGGGAGACGTGTGAGAGTTTAATGGTTGAGGCTCTGGTGCCATGTCTGGGACACCTTATGTCCATATATAGACATAATTTATGTCTATATTGAGACATGTCCAAAAAAAGACATAAGGTCGTCCAAAAACAGACATAAGCGATCAATCTCACACCCACGCCCAAATAGGCAGCTACTCAAGCAGTTGACCTCCTACTGGCTTTTCTCCCTGTGCTATGCGCCGCAGGCCAGAAAAATATTTGAATAGCTCACTTACCTTGTGGGAATTATAGGATACACTAATATGAACCTAGAATGCATTTTTAAACCATTGAAAAGAGAATTTGTGCTGTTCTGAGCATAAAGTCAGTTCCACTTGTTGCAATTGCTCATCAAAGTATGTGTCCATGCTAGTAGAATATCTCAGAGTATGTGAAAGCACTTTACATGCACTTCTTCCTCCTAATGGCAGGTTGATGCACTAAAGGCAACAAAAAGACAGAATCAATGGGTAAAAAAAAAGTTGTACTGCTTTAAAAATGCTGATACAGGAGTGCTGGTATGTTGTTAATATTTCCTCACATAGTCTTGACCTTCTTATAAAAAGAATTTGTAACAATCTCAAGATCTGGACTGTGTTACAATAAATCCATCTAAAGTTGACAATAAATCTGTCATAATTGAACAACCCTTGCTGTTGATCTATAATTCTACATATATAATCAGTGTAAAGTACCCTGCTTCTTACATGCACATTTTTGAAAAGAATTGAAACATTCTCAGCTGTTCCAGACATGACACTAGAGCCATCATTATTCCTCTTCATTGTAATTTTCAGTACTCTGTCCTTGTTAGCTCAACATGAGGAACTTGAACATAAATCTGCTTTGCAATTAATCTGAGCTCTTGGCCTAATTTCCTGTCTTGTGATTTCATGTGTAAAAATGCATGCTGATGGGAAGACTTACTCATGATATCTAATCTGTTTCCTCATAGTTGTGGCCCCCAATGGGTCCCTGCCCCATTTTTAAATGGTAGATAGGGAGAGGATATATTTCACAAAATTTCATAGCAATCTGTCAAGTTTCTAATAAGATACATATTTGTGATTCAATTATCTCTGTGAAAAAAAAAAGATGTCAATCACTGGAATTGAACTTAGGTTGGCCATAAAAGGAGATCAAAAAAGCGCGATAATCCACTACACTATACAACCCTATATAATCTTTACATGTAGTTACCATATATGTAATTTTTGAAAAACGGTGTCCTTGTCCCAGACATGACACCAGAGCCATGGTTGAAGAACTTGGAGACCCGGCGAAACTTGTCCATATCGGTGTACGTGACACTGCGGTCTGCCTTGTCCATCAAGGCGGCTTCGTAAACATGAACAAACAACAGCAAATGTTCTACTGGGATCAAACTGGGATCGAAGACCGTGGTTATGGGATTGATCGCACGAGAGATGCCCCATAAATTTGGACAGGGGGTAGTATTAATTGATAGGCTTAATCTCACGAGATGCGCACCTAGTGGTGGTGCACAATCCCTGCTAAGTGTGATGACCAGTGACATGCCATGTGACAGTGTCACACAGCCAATTTCTTGAGACATTGAGTTTGTACTTTCCACAACACCAATTCAATATATTTTTTACAATGGGTTTGATGGAATTAAGTGAATGAATCCACCGAGAGAGTTTTCCATGTAAGAATTGTAGTTATTGCTCCAAAAATGCGCAATCAGCCTGTTTTCCCTGCCAAATTTGGCACTCTGGAGAGATTGGTTAATAACTTTTCAACCACTGCACATATGAACATGATTTGTAGGAGGATTTTACTTAGACTTTAAATTAAAATCGATCTACGAGTCCAGAATTTTTATTTGTAGCCCATGTGCCGAGATAGCCTTGAAAATGGGCACTTTAACATGGTTAAGGGGTAGTAATTAAAATTCTGGACTCGTAGGATTAAAGCCATATACTAATCGATGATTTTGTCTCTGCAAATCTAAGCTGAAATCCTATCTGTT